CTCAGGTCTATCACCTTCTGTCATGGGCCACTTCTGATTGGTTAACAATGGCTGGTACATGTGGAGCACAGCACTTCTGATTGGTGTGGATGACTGACACACAAGAACAAAACAAAAACAATTTTTTTTATAATTGCCTCATTTCAAATCGCGATTTCGATTTAAAATCGATTAATTGTTCAGCCCTAACAAGCAGTGGTGGAAAGTAATACATTACCATTGCTGTAGTACTGTCAATACTGTATGTACAATTTTGATTGACTTTTCTAGGTATATATAATTAATCAATACATTATGATACATTACAATCCAATAATTAATATGCATTATTCTGCAATGACACTGCTATAACTTTTGTTACTCTAAGTTTATTTTGATGCTAATACTTTTTTACTTTAAGATTGATTTTTATATCTATACAAATTAATTTCACTTGACGTTGTGATATTGCAAAATATTACTTTAATTTGAGAGATCTTCCTTCAACACGGATTGGAAGTTTTCTTTTTTTTCTTGAGAGCTGAACAATTTCAGGAAGTTGGCTGAAAAGAATTGGTCGATGTAAACTTTTCATTGATTTAAACCATTTTATGACAACAATTCTGTCTGATGCGTAAACGCTATACAAAGTGTTCAAAGCTGTTTATCTATCTTTCTGAAAGACTGCAGGAATAGAAAAGATTCAACGATACATTGTGTGCTGTGGAATATTTATTTCCCAAACATCTTACATCATGACTTGTAGAATTATTTTTAGGTTCAAACGTTTGTGACATTGTAGGTAAGACCATCACAGAAAATAATAGAAGACACCAAATGTACCATTATTTACATTTCTCTTTCCCACCTCCTGATCTGGAAATAGTTTCTCTATTTTGTGTTCACAAGTCATATTATACATTTTGACATCTGTAACTTCTATTGCACCTATCAGAGCATGATGAGCCATCTGATTATCTATTCTGACAACAACATGGATCACACATGTTTAGAGAAAAGCGTGGCTGTCCTGAATGCTTTGAAAAGAAAGTACTGATCATGGTTTTGAATGAAAGGTTATGCTAAGCTTTTTCTTTCACAAGTTTCACCAGAGAAAACATAATTTTGAAATGATGCAAACAGTGGCATGAAAAGAAATGTATTGACTTACACTGTGAAACAAAAACGCTTTGCCTTTTCCTGTTCATGCTGAATATATTTGTTTAAAAAACCCATGGAGATGAATCTGCGCTAACAACTGCAATTACTGTCAGCATCAGATCTGACAGCGCAAAGCCATTGAGCCCAGCCGAAACATGGCAGACATTCCCTCTGCTTCTTTTAAAATACATCCACTAATTGGTGATGTACAATAGATGGAGGACAAATTACAGAGGACTGTTCAGCTGCCTTGTTAAGAGCCTTCAAATGGTCGATGATTTGTAGAGGTAGATTGCTCAATTTGCAGTTATTCCAGCCTTTGATTATATTTTGACGCCTTTACCATAAAATCAGTTACGTATCAATTATTTTGAAAAGTCTCTTATAGTGTACGTGATGCCTTGTTTTCATAGGTGAAAATCTATGACTAAATCTGGCACATTTACATGGTAGACTCAAGTGCTCATGTTAATAATGTGAATAAAAGAAATGAATAAAACATCTCTCTATTAAAACGCCAAAGCTGAAAAATGAAAAGTTGTCCCTCCTCTGTTTAATTCAGCTCAATGTTCCATATAAACCCAGAAGCTAGCAGAAGCACTTCATAGAAATACTCAGCAGGAGGAAGCTGACCTCGGCACAGCCTCCACTATAACCTGGACTTCCTCCCAGGGCAGAAACAGCTGTTTGGTATTCGCCACCATAAGTGAAACATATTCTGTGTTTTGCAGGGCCTGCTCCTCTCTGCCCTCTGATTTGATGCTTCTGCGCCATCTTTATGCAAATATACTCTCACTGATGAAGCAGCCACTTATCATTAAGTGGCTGCGGTAGTTATACATCAAGGTTTCATGTTATCAGTTTATATATGCATTATTAATCCAGACCAAGTGCTATGTCTTAATGCATTCCTATTAGCGGGGATACATATGAATTCCAACACTGTTAAAACATATTTAAAGAAAATAACTTTAAAATTGTTTGAAATAAAACAAAAATCTTATAATAAATGACCAATCAGTGCAAACATCTATGCAATTACAACAATAAATACTATGTATTATAATTCAGTCCTATTTCACTTATGGTTATTTTAAGGTAAATTACATTAATTCTATTTGTCCTTTTACATTTAAATCCTGTAAGAAAACAGGTTTAACACAATGGCTGTCTCAGATCTAAGCTACACTACAAATATATCTTATCTGCTCTCTGTTGTTTCTTCCAATCTAGAGAAACATTTCAAAGGAAGTTAAGAAGTTTGAGCAGAGGTTCATGAAGAACAATAAGGAGTTCATGTGTTTGAGTCTGGACCTTCTGAAAGAGGGTGAGTATATTGTGAGCTTGTTGAGCTGTTGCTCCGTGTTATGTGTCGTGTAGAAGCAGCCTGGAGAGGAAAGGAGGAGGTATCCGACGGCGGGGAAAAGATGAAACCCCCTGGGGGAGGTTTGTGTCAGCCACATGCTCCGGCTGCTCCTCAGCGAGCCGGCCCTTTGTTATGCTGATTTGCTCAGCCTTTTGTCCAAGACTCCCACAGAGTGTCTGTGTGAGTGAGAGGACAAGAAAGAGAGAAAGACTGACATCGTTTACAACATTTTACAGAATACATCTTTATAATATTCAGGCGATAGCAGCACTTTGCAATATCATGCTATCCTATTCAATACTGATTTAATAATACAACTTTATGATGAAACTGAAAATGTTAAAATACATTCATTTTCATCTTCATCTTCAAGGCAAAGATTTGTCCTTTTTAAAGGAATTTTTTATTATTTATCAACTTATCGATATCATTTAGTGTATATTATCTTTGCGGGTGTAGATACCGAAGACATTTATTGGTCCCAGTTGGTTTGTTCTCCAACAACATTAGTCTTGGTGGTGACAGTATAGGTTCAATACAACACACAGAACATTTATGAAAAAGCATGAATAAATAACAACGTTACACGTAACAACAAGTTGATATAAGTGATATATCCAATCCAATCCACTTTATAGCACATATTAAAAACAGAGGGTTTACCGAAGTGCTTCACAGCAAACATAACATTATAATAAAATATAATATTACAATATTAGATAAAANTTTCACCAAAGCATAGGAAAGCTCCATTGGAAGCCATTTGGAAAGGGCAGGCACTTTCAAAAATACTTGGCAGGTGATTGGATCAATCTGTCTATCACCAGGTGATAGACAGATTGATCCAATCACCTGCCAAGTATTTTTGAAAGTGCCTGCCCTTTCCAAATGGCTTCCAATGGAGCTTTCCTATGCTTTGGTGAAACAAAACATCTAAGTTAGGTTAGTGATGCTCCATCACATGTTTTACATCTATTACAGGGTGAATCTTAATCTGAAGCTTGACTTTAAAGCAACCCAACGGAGGTTTCATGTAAGTTTAGTTCTTTCACTCTTAGCTCGGGCTGCGGGACTGCTAGAGACAGGAGCATGTTGATACGACCTTCCTAGCCGGAGATATGGCCGCATTTTACAATAAACTTCCGTTGGGTCGCTTAAAAACAAATATCGAAAATCGAATCGCAATCGCAATATCTGTCAGCAAAATAGCAATTACATTATTTCCCCAAATTGTGCAGCCCTACTGCTTGTGTCTATTTGTTAATAGCAAATAATAACTAGTGCTTTGCCAGAGATACCCGAGGTGAAAACACTTTCACAATCATGATAGTGTTCCCTCACCTGTAGCTGACACAACAAGATTTGAGACATTTTTGAGAGGTTGTCACAATACTGAACTACAAATGACTTTTTAAAGTAGGACAAACACAGCACAGAAAAAATCCAGGCCTGCACTGTTTTAGCGTGGCTGCCAATAAAGACACAGTCTCTTGGATGTAAACATGTAAACCCTAAACTCTAGGTGCTTTGGCTCAGGCTGCTAAACCCTGATAACATATTTCATTTCAGACGACTGCAATTTTGAGAAGAAAATAGACCTGTTGTGAGTCATTTGTGTGACGTAGCACAAGGTGTGAGGAGGATGTTCGATAAAAGCAAAATTAACAAAGAAAGGGAGTTGCAAACCCTGCCACTGTTGGTATGTTTGTTAAACTGAACAATGTACAGCAGCGTCCAAAAAAGACAACTAACAGCACAGCGATAACAATGACTGATTCCGCTTTACAATAAAAATCAGTGCAGACCGACAGGAAATGTCATGGAATACTTTGCTTTGCACTGAATCTTTCTATTAGCATATCATACTGAATATAAATGGATTCTCATCTCCCTATCAGCACTGTCACCGACAGAGAGGTGGACACATGTAGAAAGGTGTCTCAGCTTAACAGACATTAGATAAAACCAGCAAAGCAGTCATTCTGGCAGTGTAATTACCCATCATGCCGTAGCTCAACATTCCTCTTTTTCCTTCTAGGTGCACGACAAGATAAAATAAAGATAATCCCTCAAACCAAGCAGTATTTTAAATCTGGTTTTAATCATAGAAACTTGGAGCTCAAATCGTCTTCAGGTTAATAACAATTTGAATAATTTAATCTGTACTTTGACCAAAGGGCAACAAACTAGTGAGAAAAGAGTTGAAGTTGATGAAGGTTTTAAATCAAAAACTATGTTAAATGTTGGAAGTGTGCACAGATGTATTATTATGCATTATGAATATTAAGCCAGAGCAGCGTTTCGCTAAATAACAGTTCAATAAAACACCTCAGGAATACTCCTCTTTTCGCATAATTATCTAACATCCTTGTCCTATAACTGACAGCCACACACATTATCAGTAATCAATACATCTTATTGCCCTGTTAAGCAAAGACTGCTGTCCAGGTAAACAAACTGTAAGACTCGCTGCACCTGACCGTTCTGTGAAATATTACCTCGGTGCCAATGGCAGCAA